CAATTGCCTAGTTTACATCATGCACTTGATATACGTACTAACTAGTAACTTTCTATTAAATTATCTTAATTTCAGCGATGTATTCAAAGAATGATGTACTAAATTGGTACAATATGCATTAAAATAATTAATTAAATACATATATTGTATATATATTTACACGTATCGCTGAAATTAAGATCATTCAATAGAAAGTTACTACTGGTTAGTATCCGTATCAAGTGCACGATGTAAAGTAGACCAATGTTAAACGAGGATAAGATGATACACCGGGACACTCGGGTGACATTTCCGAACGCAGCCTAGCTTATATACACCCAGGAGAAAATTTTTCTCAGAACTTTTTTTATATAATTTTTCAGAATTTCTATATAATTTTATAACTTCTTCAAATTTTTTATACAAATTGAAACACTTTTCAAAAAAGCTAAATCTTTTCTCAAAATTTTCCATATATATTAAAATTATGAAATATCATAAAATTTCTAAGATTTTTTGTAATTATAATTTCTGATGAAATGTTATAAAATCTGAAAAATTAAAATATTTTTTAAAAATTATGGAATGAGAAATCTCAGAATATTTCAGAATTTACTTGTACGAAAAATTCTGAGAAGATGTCCGAATATTTCTGAGTATTTCTGAAAAATGTTCCAATTCATATAAAAATTATCAAAAACGGTAATTATTTAGAATACACTCCCCCCCCCCCTAGCCCAACTAAAATCTTAATAACAATATACTCATTCAATACGTTTTCACTCAAAACGAAAGAATCTGGCAGAAAAACACGGCGGTTGACCTCCTGAATCGAGTTATTAAGTATCAAAGTTCGAGACTTTAGAGGTTAAGATATCTGTCATCTCGACTCGATACAGCGCTATGTATATGTTCTGATTTAATTACACAAATTCTCTGCTTTAAAAACAAATTCTCTGCTTCACTAACACAAATTCACTTGCTTCAAAAACACAAATTCACTGCTTTAAAAACAAAAATTCACTGCTTTAAAAACACAAATTCATTTCTAATGCAATAAATTTGTGTTTGTAAAGCAGTGAATTTGTCCTTTGTGAAGCGCGCGCAGAGAATTTGTGTAATTAATATAGAATGTATACATAGCAGTGTATCGAATCGGGAGGACAAATATCTTAACCTTTAAAGTCTCCAACTTTAATGTTTAATAACTCGATTCACAAGGCCGACCGTCGCGTTTTTTTCTTTGCCAGATTCATTCGTTTTGAATAAAAACACGTCGAATGAGTATATTTTTATTGAGATTTTAGGTGGAGGGGGAGGGGGGGGGGGGT